GAAAGAGATAGAGAGAATATAGAGAGAGAGAGAGAGAGAGAGAGAGAGAGAGAGAGAGAGAAGAGAGAGGAGAGACTGGAGAGAGATTGAGAGAGATAGAGATAGGGAGAGAGAGCGAGATAGAGAGAGAGAAAGAAAGAGAGAGACTGAGAGAGAGATTGAAAGAGATATAGAGAGATATAGAGAGAGAGAGAGAGAGAGAGAGAGAGAGGCGAGGATAGGAGAGACTGAGGAGAGACCGAGGGAGAAAACGAGAGAGAACAGGAGTGAGTGACTAAGGGAGTTGGATACAGATTCAACAGGAACGATCGCCCCATTCCGGTCCCTTTAAATGGACCGGTAAGCGCATATTCTAATTTTGCTTAAGATCAAGTCTCCAAAAAATCTGGTAGCCGACCCGGACCAAATTATTTTTGTGTTGTCAAATGAGCTATAGGCAAAAAAACATGCCGAGACCTCGAACGATGTGTAGACGTGTAGGGCGGAAGGATGGCGCGACAGAAGCCACACGGCTTTTCACCCAGCCCCGCCGCTCTTCCCCCGGGTAATTCGACCCTCTTTAGCCGGAGATGCACACGGTTCTCCGGTTTTTTGTGGTGAGCCGTGGGGGTTTTGTAGTTTGTCCATCCCATCAATACCTGTCAACAAAGAGGATGGGAAAGGGAAAGGACACATGGATTATCACCCCGGCAAATGGAAAACCGCAAAATGAGAGAAGGGAAATGGCTTCGAGGGTTACGGTTTTGGGTCTTGTCGGTTGTATTTCAGCCATAGTCCCGACAGCGAGGATCCCGACAGCTATGAGAGACCCTGACAAGCCTTAATCCCGACAACCAAAATGGGAGAGATTTTCGGCCATTTTACCCATAAATGGTTTTAAAATCGGGGTCTGGTTGTCGGGATCACGGCTGGTCGGAATTTTGGCTGGTCGGTATTTTTGCTGTCGGGATGCAAAAGTGTCCCTCAAAATTCATACCACGGCGCTAGAATGTTTTGTCAAATGAATGAGCGACGATTTTTAGGCTGTACCTTCCCGACTGCAATTAGCATAAATCAACAATAATTAAAAAAAGCGCTGAGTAGAAACTTGCAATTTGCCCACTCAATTTCCCATTTTTCCATGGACCCACCACGCCTCGTGGCCCCGATATAAACAAGCTGCATGCAGGGAAAGTTCAACAGCAGCGCCTCCCACCACAGCACATAAACTAGCAAGGAGGAAGTCGTGGAAGTCATGCCTTCTTCAGAGTTTATGTGTGATGCTGGAACAGCATGGGGTTTAGGGCGTGGGTGACGTCACACAGTGGCAAGGGCATTTTAAAGGGACCTGTAAGGGCAAGCCGATTAAAAGCCTAAGCTAAGCCTAAGCTTAAACTAACCCTAAGCTAAGCCTACGCTAAGCCTAAGCTAGGTCCAAGCTAAGTCTAAGCTAAACCTAAGCCAAGCCTAAGCCACGCCCAAGCCCTAACCTAATCCTAAGCCCAATTTTAAGCCCATAGCGCGCCGAAGTCTAATCCTAAGCCTAAACCCAAGCCCAAACCCAGCCTCTTGGCCCTTTGACCTCGAATTATTGGAGAAAATAACCTTGCCGAACGCCACCCTCGCCCCACCCCCAAAAAATTACGGTATCATTGCGGCTTATAAAGTGGAAATTAGTGGCCGTTACGCTGACATGGACTGCCCTCTCATATGACCATTTATAGCCCTTTTTGCGCGCTTCTATGCCCCTCCAGCGGCGTGTAATGGGCGGACACGGAGAGCGGAAATTGGCACAATTTTCGCCTTTACGTTCGGGGAAGTCGAAGATGCATATACATTCCCTTGGACCCTTGCCACCGCGAAAAAATGACTCAAAAAATGGGCGGTGCAGCTGCAGAAGAGCCGGGTAAAGGGATTTGTGGATTAAAGGGACCGGCAAGACCGATCGATTTTCTATGAATTGTGGTCCGAAAACGACAAAAAAATTTGCTATGACATTATGAGAAAACACCGGCGGATCTGAAGTTATCTTAACGACATGATTAATCCAAAATCGATGAAAAAATAGATTTTTGGAATATAGACACCAAAAATCCTTGAAAATGTAATATGATACGCAACGCGTACAGCTTTCCATTGCGTAATTGATTGCGGTTCGCTTATGCAATAGAAATCGGCTCTTGTGCATTATCGGGGAGGCGTAACCTTTCTACTGTGCCAATTTGTCCAATATAAATAGGGGCACTGTTTCTAAACTGTTCTTACCATTCCCGAACTGGAAAAAATCTACAAATTTGGTTAAAAAGATAAATTTTTGTCTAATTTTTTTATTGCTTTCCACTTAACCGACGGCCAAATTTTGCTAACAAGGAGATGGTCTCAGCTCGACACCGAATTTCGTTTTGAAAATTTGCACACTGATAGAGCTCGACGAGACGAATCGATTGGTGTAACTTTCAGCTGCCCATACTAAAAAATAGCCGAGTTATAAGCATTTTAAGTTTTTGCATACATTTTGCATTTTGTCCGCCCTACCTTATAAGCCCTCGCCCTTCCCCCATCACCGTGGCCTCGTGGCCTAGTGGCGTAGTCGGCGGCGTATGGGGAACCTATTGAAGGTTCGAACCCCGCTCACGATTTTTATTTTTTGCTTTTGGCACAAATGCTGCTATTGGCGTTCTGAAGGCCTGGAATCAGTTCGTATTCCTTAGTAACACCCCTTGCAAGGCGCAGTGACCATAAAACATCTTTTTTTTTAGAACTTGGATTTTTGACCCCAAGGGGCATTAACTGTTCCAGCAACAAAAATAAAAATTTAAAATAGAACAAAAAGTTAGAATCAATATAACATACGGTGCATGCGTTGTGTGTCAGCAAGCGTTTTTCACTGTCGCAATTTTTTGAAAATGTTGTTCATAGGTTGTGCATAAGTCCAATGTTAAGTTCGAAAATTTTGATGATGAGGTATTGTGGGCAATGCGCCTTGCAAGGGTTAAACTAAGGAATACGAACTGATTCCAGGCCTTCAGAACGCCTAACAGCAGTATTTGTGCTAAAAAGCAAAAAATAAAAATCGTGAGCGGGCTCGAACCTAAAATAGGTCCCCATACGCCGCCGACTACGCCACTAGGCCACGAGGCCACGGTGATGGGGACGGCGAGGGCTTATGAAGGTAGGGTGGAAAAATGCAAAATGTATGCAAAAACTTAAAATGCTTATAACTCGGCTATTTTTAGTATGGGCAGCTGAAAGCTACACCAATCGATTCGTCTCGTCGAGCTCTACTCAGTGTGCAAATTTTCAAACGAAATCGGTGTCAGCTGAGACCATCTCCTTGTAAGCGCGCTATCAAAACATTTCCTATTACGCTACTAGGCAATTCTGGACGTATATGAAAATTTGTCCCTCCAGATCAGGGTTGTTCAGGGACGGACGGGACGGACGGGGACGGGGACGCGTCCCCGTCCCCTAATTTGCATCCCCAAATGGGGACAGACGGGGACGGGACGGGGACGGTGGGGACGGACGGTGACGGGGCAGCGTCCCCGTCCCCGATGCAAATTACGGGGATAAAGTATCGGCATTCAAATCACGCATCGGTTGGGTTTAGAATTTCCCAGAGCAAGGTACAAAACCTTGATAGCATGATTACGATGAAGTGCTTATAACCTAGCATGTGGGAGTAGGTAACCAATTGCTTTCTAACTTGAATATCTCGAATTTTTAAGCTCTGTAGTATAATTCCAAAAAATGGTGATTATCTGCAGCGCCGACGCCATCTAGGTATAACTTCCAGCTTGGCTTGAGTTGCCTGTATTTTTGACTCCCAAAGAAATGAGAAGGAGTCCCGAAATAATTACTGGTAGGAAAACAATTTGCATTTCGGCATTTGCATCGGGGACGGGGTGACGCTGACCGTCACCCCGTCCCCGTCTGTCCGTCCGTCCCTTCCCGGACGCGTCCCCGTCCGTCCCCTAATTTTATGCAAATTAGGGTGACGGTCCCGCGTCCCCGTCCGGACGCGGACGGACGGGGACGGGACGCAAAATGACCAACCCTGCTCCAGATAATGCGAAAGAAACTGGAAATCCAGGGCTTGCCATTCTCGCAGGTTCCTTTAAAAGTCAAAGCTCTGGCAGGCAGCCAACCACTTTTAAACCTTTCCCTCCAAACCTGCAACCAAACAACCAGCTGAATAGAATAGATTGGCCTCTGAACGATCAGCAAAAACTGCAGAATAATTTCAACCTATTTACGTGAACTTTCCAAGCTCGCGAGATCACCCGAGGATCACGGGACCCCAAAGTCAAGACCCCGGGACTTGAAAAATCTCAAGGCGCCGGACCACTTTCCCAGCTTCGAATGCGGCGACAATACGATGAATAGAGCCAGGGAGCCCGAGCCCTGGGTCTTCTATTCATCGCCTCATTAATTATTTCAAATTAATTGGGCCGTGGAGGAGAAGGCGAGGAGACTACAGAGGCACGCGCCACTCGAATCTGGTCCTTCGAAAACAGAAAACGTAGATAATTGCAGGGTGGGGGACTAGAGGGAAGTGGAGCAGCCGGGGGTACGGTAGTTGTCGAGCGAAAAAACAGCTGGCATATGATTATCCTGAGGGTGTATCTTCGGAAAGGTCACAGAATAGCGAGGAAATTATGTTGCGCTTCCGAATAAATATATCACGGGTTTTCGAGGAGTATTACGTGGCTGGTTGGTTACTGTGTAGCGTTTGCTCTCTCTCTCGCTCTCTCTCTCTCTTTCGCTCTCATTCTCTCTCTCGCTCCGTCTCTCTAACTCGTTATCTGACACTCTCTCTCGCTTTCCTTCTCGCTCTCTCTCTCTCTCTATCTAGCTCTATCTTACTGTATCCCTGTGTGTATCTCTCCCCTCTCTCTCGCTCTCTCTCTGTCTCTCTCTCTGTCTCTCTCTCTCTATCACGCCCTCACACTATTGCTTTTCTTTGCTGCCAAACCATATCTGTTCGAAAATTTATTCTAGTTCCAATATCCGCGTATTTACACGGCAGTCCCGGTGATCCCACCGAAAACGTCATTAGTTGCAGCGTACCGTTGCAACTCGTCGAAGATGATTGCTGTAAACCGCAAGTTTTAGTTTTGGAGCAAATTTCCGGGCCCCCAAAAAACATTTCTACCTTTCCACTGGGCTATACTCCGCTCCTCCAGCTCAATCTGATCATCGTAGCGATGGGTGGTGATCGGCAGGTTGATGTCGTGCTGCTGAAACTTCATTTTTTCTTTTTCAACTTTTTTTTATGCAAACCATCTTTGCTAGCTGGCCGTGTAAGCAATTTTGTGAATTTTCCTCACGTTTTTAGCTGGCAAACTAGCAAACACGATTTGGGCGCGCAAAAAAAGGAAAAATGAGACAGACCTTAAGCCATCCAGCAACATAAGGATGCCGAAGTGCTTCCTCCACCGAAATTCTCTGTTCCGGATCGATAGCCAGCATTCGGCTGATCAGGTCCCGGGCGTAGCGGGCTAAACATGCGATTTTACATTGGGTTCCGGCGGTTTAAGCGGCACAATTAGCGCGTGATCTGAATGCTAAATCTTTTGGTGTATAGCAATTTTAGGCAAGACTACTTTACCCCTCCCGCCCCCCCCCCCGCCCCGAAGCTGAATCATCTCAAAGTTTTCGGTATTTGCGCTATTTTTGTCGTCTTTTTACGCCGCCGTTCGATAGAGCGTCGAAAAGCTACTACGAGCTTTAATTTGAGCCTACAATAATGAAAAATAAAAAACTTATTGCCAAAAACTTCCAGCTGGGGGGCGGTGGCGGGGGGGGGGGGTAAAGTAACGTTTAACCCAATGTTATTCATATCGCCGATTTTTATCTCGCTTCGACGAAATGAAAATAAGATAAAATAAAATTTGACAATCTTCCTTCCTTTTCGCAAAAACCACCGACCTGTCAAGCAATGAGCCGGGTCCTCGCTTTCATTTGGCAGACACGAATCGGGTATCAACTCCTCCAATGATTTGGCCGTCTGCTTGGGCTGAGATCGCACGAAACTGCAAAAAATGGTCTTTTGCTGTTTTAATAATCATGCGCCAAAGTAGTAAGTTGTACTAAGTGACCCTTAATGCACACAGAAGTTTGTGTTTTATACTTACAACGCTACATTCCTCGTCATTTTGTCGATAAATGATGTGGGTGGGGTGCCCATTTTGGAGACGATACTGCGCCATTGGTCGAGATGGTCGGTGCCGGGGAACAGGATCTTCCTGAAAACGACAAAGCGCTGCCGAACCACATTTAGGATTTACCGTGTGAGGATTTCAGCAAAAATACAACCAATCGACCAGACATCAACTAAAAAATAGTACAGGATTCGACCGAAAACACGCCTTTCTCATTATAGCCCATCTCGAGAATCACCTCCGGGGCTCGATACCATCTAAAATTCACAGTTTCAGATATATTCTTATGTGGATTAGTCTAAATCAGGGACCATTTTGCCCTTTGAAGAGCCGGTCAAGGTAGTTTCTATGGGTTCTTGGTAAGACTTTACTTTACAACCTCACCCCCACAGCCAAAGGGTCTCAAAGTGTTCGGTATTTTCGCATATTTTGTCGGGAGTTTTGCAACGTCATTCGATAGAGCGTCGAAAAATATACTACGAGTTTTAATTTGAGCCTACATAAATGTAAAATAAAAAAGTTCGGGCCCAAAACTTCCGCCTGAGGGGGGGGGGGTAAAGTGAAGGGTTTGAGGCGACGGATACGTTACGTGCCGTGCCTCCATAGTCAGACCGTTGCCGATTCTTAAAACGAACCCACCGTGTGACAACGTAATTTGTCATCCGCATCTGCGCATCAAAAGGCGTGCGCCGTGCCAGCCCAAAGTCCAGAATCTTCAGCGTCACGTCCTCGTTGATGACAATATTCTCGGGTTTTAGGTCCTTAAAACGTGGTATGAGTTTTTCCGTTATAGTAAAAAGCTACAAGCATTTCATCCACCACACTAGGTATAGAAATTCCGGAAACGCCTGACTTACCCGATGGATAATGCCGGACCGGTGGAGATGCTTCATTGCGCATAAAAGCTGAAAGATAAGGAAGGATAGATGTGGGTGGGGAAGTCGCTTCTCACGGATCACCTGAAAAGGTATAATTCCGCTTTGTAAAAAATCGCGTTGTTACTCACATGTGACAAGTTGAAATCCGCGAGCTCCATCACAAAATACATGTCGTTCAGTTGGGTGGCGGAAGTTTGGGGGCTGAACGCGTTGAGCAGGGCGATGATCTGAAGATCAAGGAATCAAGCCTAAGCTCAAGCCTAGCTAAGCCTACGCATAAGCCTAAGCGCAAGCCTATGCCCAAACCTATGCCTAAGCCTAAGCCCAAGTCTAAGCCGAAGTTTAAGCCTAAGTTTGAGCTTAAGCCTACACCTTAGCCCAAACCGAAGCCTAAGCCTAAGCCTGAACCTAAGCTAATAATAAGCGTAGGCATAAAGCTAACAAGCATCAAGATTGTAAGCCAAGCGGAGCCTAAACGAAGCCTACGAATAAAAATAAGCTTAGCGTCAGACCGAAGCCTCATTTGCATAAACTTAGACCTGGAGAATCCTAAACCCATGGCCCTAGCATAAGCCTTCGAACTCTGAACCCACATTGGGATGCTTGAACGCTTCAAGCAGTACAAACTCTCTGTACGTCCGCTTCGCCGAGATCTCCATCACAAACGGGTTCCGCATCTTCTTGATGGCCACCGGTCGATTCAACACCGTATCCACCGCCGCAACCACCCATCCTTGCGCACCGGCGCTTTTGTACGTTAACTGTTGGTAGCGCCTGAAGCAATAGCATTATTCACAAAAATCTGAGGAAAATCCGCCAAACGTAACAAGCGAAGTATTTCAATTCTCGACCCAAGAAAAGCTCAAAAAAAATTAGCGAGGGTAAAATCGATGGTTCACCAACATACCTCGGCAAAACAAAATCACATCTTTGCTGTCGATAGATAATGACGTGTGTCTCGTAGCGTGCGTCATCTAAAATAACAAAAAAATTCTTCGGTAAAAAACAAGATATTAAGGATAATTTAAAGTAAAACCGAATAATGAGACCAAAACGAAAGGAAGTGTGCATTCTATTATAAAAATTGCATCATAAAAATTATGCCATAAAATTACGTTTGAGAAATTTTACGCATTAATTTTGTTTTTGCTCGAAAAGCTTTTATATCTCATGATTTTAAGCCTAAATTCGAAAGCTTGTTGTATTTTATTTCGTATTTGTTAAAGTTATATCAAATGGCAAGAAAAATAAACAAAATTTTGAAAAATTGCGACAAATTGGCAGCCGTTCGGCTCGGGGTAAACTAAAGTTTTGCATAAAATTTTCATAATATGAATAATAGTAATAATAGTAATACTCAAAAGTAAAAAATCGCCCGACCAACCTGTCATATTTGCTGGTGGGGGGTGATGATGGTGGATCGAAGGAATCGTCGGACAATGGGAAAGACGCAAAAATCGATGTGCAATCGAGTGGCCCGGTGTCGAAAGCTTATCGCGCCGTTTACAGAGCGGCTTTTCCGGATGACGCTTCTTCTCGACCGGGCAACCATTTTGTGACAATTCGGCAAATCACAAGTGGCTGTCGCGGACGACTGCAAGGAATTTATCGAGCAAGAAATAGGGAAAGTATGGTTAGAGTGCCGTTACCTATCCCCCAGCCGGCGCCCAACTTTTGTATCTAGGCTCGTGTTCATATAAAGATGTGAAAAGTATAACAAAATCTTCGCCTTGCTCTGGCGACTATTTTGGTATACTTTACACATCTGTAGACGAATAGGGAGCCGAGATACGGAAGGTGGGGGTCGGCTGGGGGCGGGGGGACTGCACTTAAGCCGAAAGTAAAGATGGTCCTTTTTCTGGCTCTAACAAGAGGCTAGTTTATATTTTAAATATGCTAATATTGAACGCAGGAATTTACAAATTAACCTGGGAACATGGCGCGATTCATACTAAGAAAAAAATTCATAAAAGAATTCGAACGGTACTTGGTCATTTTGGTGCACACAAAAAAAGCAATTTTTCGAACTAAAATCAAGTTTTTCATTAAAGAACAAACGCGTTGAAATAAGGAACAAAAATTCACTACTAACGCTCAACAAAAAATTCACGAGACGTTCACACTTAGCCCGAAATTCTTTTGAACGGCAATTGGCCTACGGACTTGGGGGAGATCGCTCTTATTCATATGTGGGATTGTGTAATTGGTATTTTATTTGATTGTTTAACAATTTAATTGTTTTTAATCCATTAAGGATTTTTATTATCGTAGTTCGAGTCGGAAGTAGTCAAGCGGCGCCTTTTTGGAACGGGTCGGTTGATGAAGGCCATTGACCGCCTCTCCCCGTTACCACTGTAGTCCATTGCGAGTGGGGCAGCACCACGAGGTTCACCTCCCCGGTTCGACCCCCCGCCGTGTCGGCTGATGAGTTTTCAAGACGGGACTGACGTGTGGTTGATTATTCACAACTCTCTGACGACACTTTTTGATGGTTTTCAGGGCACAATTTTTGCGGTTTTCGTTTATAATGTCGTTTTACGCTTTACAGTAACTTCTTTATTCAAGGAATGTATCGACTGTGGAGGCGCAACGTATAAATCCTTCGAAAACGCTAGAAAAAAATGTTGAGGGCCAAACAACCGCTAAAAGTGAGTGTATATGGAATTCTACAATCGTATCACAATGGAATCGCCGGGGGAGGGGGGATTTTTGCAGGGATAAGCTAGTTATAGGCATTTTTAATTTGATGCATGGTGTAAAACGGCGCCTAGGGTGGTTTTAAAGCTCTGTTGCTCCGGGGGGGGTTAGGAAGCAAAAAAGTCTGACTTCTCAAGCCCTTTAATCAAGTTTTATTACATGGCAAGCGCTTATATCGGGGGGTAGCACCGGGGGGAACGTTGAGAGATTCGTTGGGAAATATGAGTTTTAGGGGCGCTGAGAATGGTGGTTTTAGGAAAACCTGTATGCCAAAAAGTATTGGACTGTTAGCGGGGGGGGGGGCTAATGCTTGTTTTCCCGCTGTAACTACCTATTAATAATATATAACGTATTTTATCGTAATTTTAGTGGTTTTTGCCTGCGAGAAAGTGACAAAAATATGTTTTTAATGTCACAACTCCAAAATTTTCGCCCTTTGGCCATTTACGTGTTTGACCAGGAAGTCGAAACTTTTCGAAATTACTAGAATTTTATAAATTTTTTTATTTAAAAGCTATGCAATATGTTATGAAAATCGTGATATTTCGTCTCATACGGGATAACTTGGAAAATTTGGGTTTTGCTGCAAAATCCCCCCCCGCTAACAGTCCAGTACCGCAAAAAATTATTCCAGGCACCCCTATAACCAGATTGAGATACAGTGGAATGTAAGGAGAGCAGAAGAGCATCAACATGGCAAAGCTCTTAGGGGCAAGCTCGCAAATCGGGAATTGGCGGCGCGCCAATGAGAGTTACTTACACATAAAGCCGGGTATTCGTGAGGATCATCGTCGAGTCTTAAAAATACACGTTGAGGAAGAGGGTGGAGGCGCTGATGGCCATCGCTCTCATTTGTGTCCCTTTTTGGCGGGTTTGGTCTCTTTGTGGTCGTCTTGGTTGGTCTTTTCCGGGTCGGCAAACGGATCGTCTTTGTTGCCCTCTTGCACGATTGGAGCGATCATGTTTACGAATTCTTCGTAGTCGATCTGTAAATCAGTCGTAATTAGCTGGGCTTGGGCTTAACGTAGGATTTGGCTTAGCTTAGGCTTAGACCAGGGCTTAGGCTGGACTTGGCGTATTCTTAGGCTCATGCTTAGGCTTAGATTAGGCTTCGGCTTATACTTAGGTCTAGGATTAGAATTAGAGTTAGGCTTAGGCTTACGCTTAGGCTGGGCTTGTGCCGAGGCTTGGCTTAGTTTCGGTGAAGCTTAGGCTTGGCTTACCTGTTCATCTCCATCCTTATCGACTTCCCGAATAATCTCATCTACTTCCTCTTCCGTAAACCGTTCGCCCATCGTCGTCATGAAGTGCTTAAACTCCTGGGCCGTGATGAAGCCGTTGCCGTCTTTGTCGAACACCCTGAAAACCTCGCTTAGGTTTGTGTATTTTTTCTGTTTTTGTATAATACATTCTGAGCCGGTTTTCACTGATTCGAGCTCCCGGACAAACCCAAAACATACTTGAAAGCTAGTCGTATCAATTCCTGGTCGGTCTCCTTGTTCATCTCCTTCATCATCTTGCAAAACTCGCCAAAGTCGATCTTGCCGTTCCCATCGACGTCGTATTCATTCACCTGAACATGCCCAGTTACTCGCTAGGAATATTCGACCAACCATATTGAGAAGCTCTTCTTCCGTCGGGTTCAGCCCTAACGTCCTCATCGCCACGCCCAATTCTTTGATGTTCATCGTCCCGTTACCGTCCTTGTCGAACATCTGTAATATTTTGGCGTTGAACATCCGAATTACCGATCCTGATCAGAGGCTTGGCTTGGCTTAGGATTGGCTTGGGCTTGGGCTTAGAGTTAGGCCTAGGCTTGGCCCTTCCGTCGGGCTTAGGCTTAGGCTTAGGCCTAGCCCTAGACTTAGGCTTGGCATGCTTTGCGCTTGGCTTGGCTTAGACTTAGGCTTGGCCTGCTTTAGGCTTAGCCTGCTTTAAGCATGGCTTATGCTTAAAGCCCTGACCCTTATCCGTTCCCCCCATCAGCCCCATCAATATCTCTACCCCGTCCCCAGCCTAAAAGCTATTATTTTCGACACGCCGTTTCCGGGGGGCCCGTCGTTTTTTGCCGGGGTCGGTTGGCAAAAGCGGCTATGGGTTACACACCCCTCAGCCACAGGCGGGCTTTTGATGGTTCGCAAAAATCAACGGAGGAAACCCGGTCTAACCCTCAATGTGTGGCCACCCGGACCTTCAGCAGCTGTCTGGCCGGCCGGCGACCCCCGAAATTCACGCGATCCTTTCCAAATCGTGGTGATGGTGACGAGTTCACGTGGACGACCCCCGGGGGGATTGATGGGATAATGGTAGAGCATGTGATTGAGAGGGAAATTATGGGATTGGTGGGCTGGGAGATTTTTGGAAGAGTTCTTTAAGATCGCTTGTAAGCTACGGGCATACTGATGAACAAGCATGTTAGGCTTCGGTTTCGGCTTAGTGGATTAAGACTGACTTTCCCCTTAATTTAACCTCACCTAAACCTGCGCGAATGCTAAAGTGAAAAAATGCAGGTGCCATGACAAAACCGAAACGAACAAACCTTGAAGGCCTGCGCGAATTCCTGCAGCTCCTCCTGGGTGAACTCCTCGGCCTCGCTGCCGCTCTGATTTGTGTATTGCCGGTGCATCTCTTTCCCCGCCGTCACCAGCCCTGCAAATTGCGCGTTTAAAGTTTTTGGGGTTGCTAGACTTTTTCAATTTTATTGGCAAGCCTGATGCTCAAAGTGCAACGGAGAGAGTGGAACCGGTTTGATTCAGTCCAAATCTTGGCAGAGGATCAAAAATGCCATGAAAATGCGGGGCCCACGTTTCGTGTCGGAGTCAGGAAAAAATCCATGATGCCGCCTTGAGATGGCAAGAGAGAGCGAGAGAGAGAGAGAAAAAGAGAGAGAGTGAGAGAGAGAGAACCAGAGAGAGCGAGATAGAGCGAGAGAGTGAGAGAGGGAGACAGCGAGAGACAAAGAGAAAGAGAGAGAGAGAGAGAGAGAGAGAGAGAGAGAGAGCGGGAGCGGCAAAATCCTTAGGAAATCAATAGACAATAAGCTCCAGATCAGGCTGAAAGAGGCGGTGAACTTTAAAGAAAACACCAAAATTGGTAGCCACAAAAGAGCTATAATCCCTATTGTCAAGTTGGAACAATGGACAAAGATCTTGAATACAGAAAGGGGAGTTAAAGTAGGCGTGTTTTCTCGTATTCCGCCCCCCCCCCGCCCCTTTGGGGGAATATTGTGTTGATGGGCGCCCGAGGGCAGGTGGTAATCGGATATTGCAGAACCATTGGGAAGGTATCGGTGGACGGATACACGGACAAAAAGACAGACAGGCATTGCCAGTCTGGTGGCTGATTGTCCACAGGGAGACCCATCAAAAGCCCCCCCGCTTCAACCACCCGGCAAAACCCGGAACGCACAACCCTTGTTTTAAGGAGACGAAAAAAATGTTATAGCTAGACTATGGCCAGTCAAGGAAGTTAGGGAGAAAATTTGCCGCTTACAAGGAGTGCTTGTTTTGAGTCATCGGCAAAACCTTACGAGACCTAGCGCATTCGATAGAGAATTAATCTAAGCAAGCCTCCGCTGTTCATTTTTGCGGAATGGCTATCCCTGATTTTAAAAATTTTAAAACTGCACCCAAAAGCCACTCTTTTTGCTTGAAAGACACCTATGGTAAGAGACGATCACTAGTATTTTAAATTTATAAAATCAGGGATAGCCATTCCGCAAAAAAAAAGGACTTGCTCAGAATTAAATTCTCTATCGAATGAGCTAGAATTTTGCCGATGACTCAAAAAAGCACTCCTTGTTAGCTTAAGGATAGTTCTAATCGTGAGGGGGGGTTGTGAGCACTAGACTTGAGCGGCCCGCAAAATTCCATCGAGTCCAGAAAATTCTACCAATTTCGACCCCGGGAGAGGGATTTGCCCGAAATGATTTTTGAATGCCTTTCAATACTGCGTGCCGGGTTACTCGGAATTGTCAGCCGCGGAGATTTTCTGAATTAATTCGAAACTGAGCGACGAAAATGCATTTTGGATCCAAAATCGACAAGTCGATATTTACCATGCCTACCAAGTTTTTATTAAGACCTTTTTTGAAGGGATGTAAACTTTCAGGTTCTAAAAGGTATATAAAAAGGTTTGCCTGGTCACGATAACCAAAAGCGGCCATCTCGGGGGTCATTTCGGCTCCGGAAACGGGGTGGGTCTGGCTACGGGCTGCACCTATGGACAGGCAAAGGGGGGGCAATTGGCGATCGGGGCTGGAAGGAGTAGATGGGTTGACAGCCCACATCGCCGGCATTCTTAATGAAATGTTCTTCAGGGGGTTTGGGATAAGATGGGGTGGGCAGGGATAATCAAGCAATAACTTTGGGTTTTGCCATGCTTCACTAGCTTATACTGCTTTCAAGGCGCGCTATGCACTAGGCGACGCGTCACGGCAAAAATTTTTAGAAAATGCATAGCAATGGCTGACGCATTTCTTAACGGCATTGGCAATCCATTTCTATAGGTTTTGATGGATGGCGATATCTTTCGATTTTTGGGGTGCGCAACACGCAACGGGCCTGCCCTGGAAGCACAATGTATTAGGCGACGTGAGCACGGCCAAACCTTTATCCGGCAAGAGTTTACTTCACCCCCCCCCCACCCCACAGCCAAATGGTCTCAAAGTTTTCGGGCTTTTCGCCTAGTTTACCAAGATTTTTGCAACGCAATTCGATAGAGCGTCAAAAAATATACTAAAAGTTTTAATTTAAGCCTCCGATAATGCAAAATAAAAAAGATATAGCCAAAAACTTCCGGTTGTGGGGGGGGGGGTAAAGTAAACCGTAGCCGGGATAATTTTGGGGGGTAAAGTAAAGTGTATGTCGTTATCCAGTCCATAGCCCTTTCCGGACTCTTAAAATCTTCGAAAATCAGCCTTGCATGTAGCTGTATTATTATTCACCAAAAATCCCGTTAGAACCAAAATCGGGCAGCTGAAAAAAAACTGGGGGGATTATCCCCACCAGGCAGAAGGGAAAGTAGGTGCTGCACGTACGCCGGAAACACCTGGCCGGGCCGCGCCGAGATTAATATTGCAGTGAAGTTTGGGATGGCAAAATTACGCGGGGATCCACGTATCGCCTCGAAGCGTCGCGGTTGAGCCCCGCGGCTCCCGGACGCTGGGATTATTTTTTTATGATGATCGAGCAAAAAGCGGCTCACTGTTTTACGATATCATTCATTTTCAGATCTTTAAATGACTCATGAGTCCTATTTGCGATTTTTGGCTACACTTTACTCTACCCCCCCCCCCCCCCCCAGCCGGAATGTTTTGGCTATAAGTTTTTTAATTTACACCAGGGTTGAAAAACCGCTTCGCGGCTTTTCAACCCTGGACCCGTTTAGGACTTCTGAAAATTTGACTTTACATAGGGCTTACTGAATGCCGCTCACCAAAAAATGAAAAGCACACGCTCCCTCCATTTTTATAGGCTACGGCCACTTCCGGTCAATGCTAATTGCCTCCTAACAAAGAGGTTTCTCGATATATTTACAAAAACTTAATTTTAATAGCGAAAACAGCCGATTTTCTTCAATTTTATATGTGTGCACCCATCTCGGGACCATTACGCACCTAATGACGTATCGTACGTACCTTAAAAACCTTCCCCTGAGGCTGTAGGTGCGGTACATACTTACGGAAGTTGCATGCAAATATACACACACACACACAGACACTATTTTTTTTATATATAGTAGGATTATTGTAGGCTCAAATTAAAACTCTTTGTATATTTTTCGACGCTCTATCGAATCCCGAATCCAAAAATCCCGACAAAATTAGCGTAAATACCGAAAACTTTGAGAGCTTTCGGCTGCGGGGGAGTAGTAAAGTCCTACCCGAATTTAGGAAGAATCCCGGGTCAGGTTGTTCAATGTTCAGAAAACGGGGCCTGAGGCTGGAGGAGGAGCGGGGCTGTGGAGGTAGATTAATAACGGCCCCCGGGGGTACACGTGTCTAATGAATTATTAAACACAATCAGCCCACTCTCATTCCGACAATACCCGGCTGCCCCGCTATTCATCCGAACACTGAGCCACCTGTTTTCAATGTAGGCATGGGTATTATTATTATTGGCATTTGCTAGATTTTCGGCGACTTTATGATTTGCTAGGGGTTTCGCCACTCCGGCGACACGCAACGTTGCCACTTACGTGCTAAAACTGAAGCTTTAAAGGGGCCCAGATGTCAAAAAACGCACCGTGCGGGGATTGAACCTACTGGTCAAAAAACGAAAGGGTTACTGCCGAGAAGCACCAGAAAATTGATTTCGTTGCGGAAAAATGTAAAATATTTGAGTAAAACCGAAATGTTCTTGGGGCAAAAACGACATTTTGTGTGCGCGGCGATTTCATGTCGCTATGCGCTGCAAGGCACCCACTCATTTAATCTCAGTGATTCTATGGTCAATTTTCACAATTAAAAAGAAGTCTATAATAATCAAAATTCGATGAGGATGCCAGAAATCGCGTCGGAACTTTCCAATTCAAGCGTTTTCACGCCCAAACAGGGGCAAAAGATCGTGCGGCGCGGTCGCGTCGCAGGCGTATCTGGCTATTTGCCAGGAAACAACGCAGGGGCCGTGGGCCAGATTTCGGAGCCCCTTTAAGAATTACAGGAAATCAATCTGCATGAAGCCCCCATTACAAACCCCCAAAATGCAATAAAACT